TCCTCCACAATAATCTCCAGAATTTCCCAGAAGATTGTATTCTTAGAAGGAGCTAGCATTTCCTGAGTAACAATCCAGTCAGACCAGATACCTGCTGTGCACACAGATGTGGGGGTGTTTTTCTATACTTTCTGAGCCCTGGTTACCCAGAAAGTCCATGTTAAAAGTTATTTATGAATTTGGGGATTTAGCTCAGTGGTAGAGCACTTGCTTAGCATGCATAAGGCCCTGAGTTTTGTCCTTGGCCTTGAGGGGAAAAAAAAGTTATTTGCTTCTAAGGGCCCTTCAGAACCAGCTCTGAGAAATAATGTATTTGTATTGGTAGGTTCCCATCTATAATTATATTTCCCCAAAAAATATTATATATATATATGTATATATATATATGTATATATATATACATATAAACATCATAAACATTTATGTATGTATCTCTTAAGCTCCAAGCTGACCTCACTTTGTCTCTCATCTTATTTCCTACCTTTATTTTCACTCCCAGTACTGGGAGATTGAACCCCAGGTCCTATATATGCTACCAGCACTCTACCACTGAACTATATCCCCAACCCTTTTTTTTAAATTTATTTTTCAGCTGCAGTTGGACACAATAAATACCTTTATTTTAGTTATTTATTTTATATGGTGCTGAGGTTCGAACCCAGGGCCTCACATGTGCTAAGTGAGTGCTCTACTGCTGAGCCACAACCCCAGCCCCTCCCCAGCCGTTTTTGATATTGTCTTGAGACAGGATCTTGCTAAATTGCCCAGGCTCCCTCAAATTTTCAATCCTATTGCCTCAGCCTCCCAAGTAGCTGGCATTACAGCTGTGTGCCACTATTCATAGCTCTTACTTTTATTCTTGCCTTTCATAGAGAAAGTTGTCTTTAAGCCCAGCATCTACACATGAGCTCTAGTTGGCCCTAGCTGTGCCCCCCCCACCACCAACCCTCTCCCTTGGAGTTACCTGGGGTTTCCAAGAGACCTCAACCTGAATTCTCACCAGAACAAGCTACAGCTGTTTGGTCTAGGCATACCGCTCCCAGGATGCTCTTTGGTGGCCCATGACTCACATCTGCCCCCACACACTCTTGGTGACTGCTCAGTGTTTAAAATCGTGTTTACAATAATTTCCAAGGTCTAAAATTGGGAGAATTAACATCAAAGTCTGGATTTCTGTTCTAACAAAACAAAACAAAAGAAAAACTGGAAGGCCAAGTATCACTGGGCTCTAATTTCTATAAGCAGCCCTGATGACCAGCACTGCAGTTTTCCCTGCTGCCTTCAGGGCTGTGTAGCCCACATAGTCAGCTCAGTATGATACTCTACCTTCACTATCAAAAATCTTAATAACTTATGAACAAAGGACCACACATTTTTACTTTGCTTAGGACATGGCAAATGACAAACCTTGCAGCCATTCTTGCCTGTGGTAATCTCTGGGCTGTTCCAAGAGTTCATACTATGCCTTACTCACTTTGGGGTGCCCCCCAAACAGGGTTCAGGATGTCAAAAAACAAGGCACTTTGACAAGAGAAAGCCATAAATCTCACAGCCACCTCTAGTTGGCAGAATAAGTTGGCACACAGTTGTTCTCCATCCACCCAACCAGCCAGGTAATGGGTGGGGAAGGTGTTACTGTCCCCTTTTAGAGAAGAGGACAGCCTAGAGACTGGCCCATTTACTCTGGGTCACACAGTCAGCCCAGATCTTCCAATCCTCTCTCCTCAGCTTGTGTAGCCTAATGTGTCCCCATCCCTGTAGGTACAGGCTGCAATGCCTGCTACATGGAGGAGATGCAGAATGTGGAGCTGGTAGAAGGGGATGAGGGCCGCATGTGTGTCAACACTGAGTGGGGTGCCTTCGGGGACTCAGGTGAACTGGATGAGTTCCTGCTGGAATATGACCGCATGGTGGATGAGAGCTCTGCGAATCCCGGTCAGCAGCTGTAAGGACACCCCCCAGCCCATCTCTGGGCTGCTCTCGCTGGGAATGCAGCAGTACATGGGAGCCCCACCACCACAGATAATGGCTTGTTTTTAAACAGGGGAAAACAACCTGCTCATTCCCCTGTAAGCTGGCTCTTCTTCAAGTCAGTCATGCCTTGCCCCTGTGAACCCAGAACAGGGAGAGGCACTGCTTAGATAAGGCCAAACTTCCCCGTTCTGACAGGTGACCTTGGTCATAGAGAAGGCTCTGACCCTCAGCAGTGTTTACCAGGTTTAACCCAGAGTTCCTTAAAGCACATATTTGTCTCCATTCACAAAATGAATATTAGTGTTTTGTGAAATGCTATAAATTAGCAGAATACATCTTGGGAACACCACACAGATCATAGCTATCACTTGTTAGCCACCTGCTAGGTGCCAGACCCATGCTAATTCCTTTATGAGCTTCATCTTCATCACAGGCCTCTATTAGGTGAGTAGTATTAAATAAATTTCAAGATAAAAGTGTGGAAGCCACCAAGAAAGTTTCAGAGGGACTGAATAGAGGCTTCAACTTCATCCCTTTCCCTCACAGAGCCAACAGGTGGGCCAGATGTGTTGAAAACGTGCACATTCCTAGTATCCAAAGTTTCTAAAACCCCTGTTTATAAACGAGTGAGAAGCATGAAAGCCAGGATGTGGGGCAACTGGGAGGGGGTGAAACCAAGACATCCCTATGGCTACCTCAGAACCCTAAGGGGGAAGTGGTGGAGACGTCCCCAGCAGGTCACCTGGTGTAACCCTCCTCCCATGTCCAGGTATGAGAAGCTCATTGGCGGGAAGTATATGGGAGAGTTGGTGCGCCTCGTGCTTCTCAAACTGGTGGATGAGAACCTGCTGTTCCACGGGGAAGCCTCAGAGCAGCTACGGACTCGCGGCGCTTTCGAGACCCGATTTGTATCGCAGGTGGAGAGGTGCGTGGAAGAGATGGGGCCAGCCACAAAGGACAAGAGGGCAAGGGCAGGGTCACAGAAACCCTTATGGACAGGGTCCTAGGCGAGGCAGAATCTCTGGCCTAATACACCAGGATGAGGAGGAACTGGGAGCAGAATCCTGAGTGTTCTCTGGCCCCAAGCCGAGCAGTGGCCAAGTAGCTACCCTGTGCACATTTCCCCCACAAGATGGTTCCTCACTCCCACAGACACCTTCACACTTCATTCACACTACAGCTCCCAGGTGCAGCAATGTTTTTGCACCACATTAGAGCACAGACCCAGGGCTTAGAGGGAGCAGTAAAAATGAAGTACTGGTCTCTGGCAAAATCTGCCTGCTGCCTTCCAGAGCACAAGTCCCAACTGCTTTGACTGGGTGAGGTGGGTAGGATCATCCCTTCTCCAGAGAGGGCCCATGGCTCTGCTAGCCAGACCTGGACAACCACCCTTCCACCTCCCACCCTGCAGCGACTCAGGTGACCGCAAGCAGATCCATAACATTCTGAGCACACTGGGGCTGAGGCCCTCCGCCACTGACTGCGACATTGTGCGCCGCGCCTGCGAGAGCGTGTCCACGCGAGCAGCGCACATGTGCTCAGCAGGGCTGGCGGGTGTCATCAACCGCATGCGCGAGAGCCGCAGCGAGGACGTGATGCGAATCACCGTGGGTGTGGATGGCTCTGTGTACAAGTTGCACCCCAGGTAATTCCCCCCCCCTGCACCCTAGGTGACCCTCCCCACCCTGGCACCCCTCTCCCTACTAAAGGGAGATCCAAATGGCGTGGCCCCCAGGAATTCATGAGCCTCTTTGGGTTGTCCCCCTAGGCCTGGATGGGATGGAGGGTCGGCTGGGTTCTGGGCGCCCAGGAGAGGTGGGGGTTAGCAGAGGTGAGACCTGGAGGGCCAGAAGAGCTTGTAAGGCAGCCCTGTTTCCCTCCGATTCAGCTTCAAAGAGCGATTCCACGCCAGTGTACGCAGGCTGACGCCCAGCTGTGAGATCACTTTCATCCAGAGTGAAGAGGGTAGCGGCAGGGGTGCGGCCTTGGTTTCAGCAGTGGCCTGTAAGAAGGCCTGCATGCTGGGCCAATGAGAGCCAGGCTGCGAGGGCTGAACCTGGACTCCATGGGGACTGCGCTCTCTGTAGTTGCTCCCAGCTCACCAGGGCAGGAAGCTGCCTATCCTGCTGCTAATCCTGGAAGATGGTGAGAGGTCACTGGAGCCCATCAGGCCTCTTGGCCTTTTCTCCAGAAGTCGGTGGGAGAACCCCAGAGCCCTGGGGTAAGGGGCTGAGAGGAGCAGAAACAGAGACTCCAAAGGCCCTGGCCCTTCCTGCTGAAATCAACTACTGAGATGTAGTTGCTCACTCAGGACTTTGTTGCATTTCCACACTGTCTGCTTCTCAGAGCTGCCAGCCTGGCCTGGGCTCCTGCTTTGAGATGGGAGTGCCCTTGGGCACCTGCTGTGGCTTGGCTTCTGTGGAAGCTCACCCTGCTTGGGAGGCAGGGGGCAGGCAACTCCAGCAGCTTGGCCAGATCAGACCTGGGCCCACAGGGGACAGTGGGCTGCTGGTCACCCAGGCCTCACTGTTTCTTGTGTCTGACCCAAGAGGATAAAGAGCCATAGGAGAAGGCCCAGCTGTGGGGAGAGGACTTCCCAGTCTGCAGGTGACCCCAAGAGGCCTTTTTCTTCACACACACACACACAACACACACACCCCTGAGATAGGCCCTTACAGGTGATGAGACAGAGCCCCCAGTATCCTGCCCCAAGCGTCCCACAAAATGGAGGAGGCACCATCAGGAGTCCTTCAGCCTGCTCCCAGAGGCAGGAAGGTGTCTTTGGCTCTAAGGGCACTAGTCCAGGAAGAAATCCCAGAAGCATTCAGCATACCTCCAAGGGACCATCTCAGCCCCCTCTCATCTTCATCATATCTCCCATGTGTCACACCACCCTTTCCATGCCCAACCTGGGACTATGTGGGGTTTTTAATTAAAAACTTTAAAAAGTTTGAATATGGCCTTTATTTGACCTCTGTGCATAAGAACCATGGGGACAATATATGAAGAGACAGACATCGTCATGTGGCTATATCTTAGAATGCGTTATCCTCCAGCCTGCTATACCTAGGAGAATGTGAAGAATGACAGGATAAGCTGTGGGAATGGGATGATATGGGGGATCAGAGACATAAAACACTGCCTGCCACACAATGAGTGGGATGGAAGGAGTACCAGGCAAGTCATTGTTCTAGTGGGCTGGCCCTGCTGCAAGTTGTTCTCAGGTCCTGTCCCCTCAGAGCCAAATAGGTAGCGACATGGAGTAGAGGCCAGAGATAGAAGATATCACACAATTCTAAGGACTCTCTATAGAGACTTTGGTAGGTGAAATATCAAGTGTAGGACCTAACGCCATCTTTAGGTAGAATGAACAATTACATATATAGACAGATTTGTGTCATTGTGTTGCATATTCGTTTCTCAACAAAAGAAACTACTTTGTCTCATTTAGAACATGACCCAAAGTTGTAATTTTGGAAAGTCACATCCTCTGTGAGATCTTCTAATTTTTCTGGTACTTCTAATGTGGAATTGCTCTGGTCCTCTTCATTCATTTGAGTTTAAGTTCTGTACTGTAAGTTGACACAGCATCTGATTGCTTCACCATCCAGATAATGGGATTGTTAGAGCATACACACATTAGGACATATTTTGATATAAATGGCTTTCAACTTCTTCATATTACAGTTTGAGGTATTATATTGATTTTTAAATGTTTTTGTGAAGCTAAGTTGCATATCTGAATTGAAAAAAAAAATGAAATGAATTTTACTTCCAGACAGTAAAAGAGGTGTTAACAAAATATTTAAAAAGGGAACCTGGGGTCTAATGGATGAGAGTGCCTGCCCTCTTTCAGCCCACCACTGATATATATGGGCCTTGCATAGCTGGGTTGGGGTGAGTGTTGCCAGCAGGCCCAGCCAGGGAACCCACTCCTGCTTTTCTCAAGCAGTCCAGCTACTCTAGCTCCTCTGAGATGCCCCTGATCCCTCAAGAAGCTGGTGAGGTTGCTACTCTGAACAGCAGAGGGCGTCTGGGCCCCTCTGTCCACAGTTCAATACCACCTGAGAGGCCCTGTGACCCTCTTTCATGGGGTGCCAGGGGAGGGTCCATGCTCCAAAAACTTCATGCAAAACAGAATCACATAGACCTGCTATGTGCAAGCCCTCTGGGGTTTAGGTGTTGAACAGGCTGGGTGTTCAGGAGGAAGCTACAAAAACAAGTTAGCCATCAAGTGAATGGGAAACATGCCCACAGTTCCCAGTTAACGTCATCATAGAGGTGCTAAAGGAGGTGGAGTTGAGTTGAGGCTTGTAGGACAGCAAGATTCCAAATGAAAGATATGAGAACACTCTAGAAGAGCAGGCCACAATAGCAGGGGCACAGAGGTGGAGAGTAGCCAGTACACTTTTCACCCCCAGAATTGCCCCAAAGCCAAGTAAATGGTCCTACAGGGTATAGACAACTCAGAGATGCCTGTTGTCACTTAGTCAGGGGGCAAGAGGCCAGAGCTGAAGGTCTTCACCAAAACCTCTGGGAATCCCAGGTCTTAGACCAGAGATCATCCTCAGAAACACTGTCTCCTTCCAAGCAAAGTGGTGCATGCTTGTAATCCTGGGGGCTTGAGGGAGGGAGGTTCAAGGCAGGAGGATCACAAGTTCAAAGCCAGCCTTAGCAACTTAGTGAGGCCCTAAGCAATTTAGTAAGACCCTAACTCAAAATAAAAAAATAAACACAGCTGGTGATGTGGCTCAGTGATTAAGCACCCCTAGGTTCAGTCCTTAGGACCAAAAAAAGAAAAAGAAACACTGTCTCCCTAAGCCTATAGGGCCTGGACTGGCCTGGCCTAGCCAGAGCCTAAACTGGACCTGCAGAAGAGATTCTCAGATAAGGGGCAACAGGAACCCTTAGCTGATACCTATAATGGTGAAAGCTTTGAGCTACTCTGCTCTGGGGAGACACAGTGAGTAGTCACATGAGATGGATGGACCCCAAGATGTTACATGTGGATATGAAGGTCACCAGGAATGTAACTGGAATCTGCTTGGGGCCCTCATCCTCTTCTAGCCCAGTCAGGGGCTGCCAAGTTTGGGCCTGTTCTCTGCTGCTCTCCTTATTTGGACCGCCAGGTGATAAGGCTGGGACATAAAGGGGGTCTGGCAGCAAGAGGGAGCAGCAATTCGTGTCAGAGAAGATGGTAAGTGCCTGATGGGGACAAAGAGACCAGCAGTCTCCAGGGTTGGGAGGGGTCGGAGCCAGGGACTTCTGTGGCTGTGTGAAGCCTGAAAGGTAGTACCCAGGGCTGGAGAGAGGATCCTCACCCTGAGTCTCCTGGGACTGCTCTTAGATTGTGCATGATGAGAAAGGGACTTTTAGGGGACCTGGGGAGAGGACTCCCTCTCATCCACAGTATTGTAGGCCAGCAGGAAGACTGGGATCCGGGGAAAGGCTGCAGCCACCAAGCAGACTCAGCGTGGATCTTCCAATGTCTTTTCCATGTTTGAACAAGCCCAGATCCAGGAGTTCAAGGAAGTGAGTGCCGCACCCCCAGGAAACCCCAACCCCATCCAAAACCTACTCCTTCCCATATGCACACTCTTCTCTGTGTGTTATGGCCCTGGCCCCTGATTGTCCTCCACACACCACCCAGGACTCTCTACCTCCTCACAGGCATTCAGCTGCATTGACCAGAACAGAGATGGCATTATCTGCAAGTCAGACCTGAGAGAGACCTACTCCCAGCTTGGTGAGTGCCTCTGCCTTCTGCCCACTACTCCCCGACCTGCTCACCTGCTTTCCCAAGGGTCCCTGCTCAGAGAAAGAACTGTTTCCCTGCCCGCTTCTCTCTCTCCTTCCCATCTCCTTACACCTCCCTTTCCCTGCCTTTTCACCAGAAGCCAGGAAAAGGGGAAGGGCAGACTGGCCCTTCTCTGGGATACCAGGGTCCCTGTGTTTGTATCATTCCCACCCTCATAGGCAAGGTGAGCGTCCCAGAGGAGGAACTGGATGCTATGCTGCAGGAGGGGAAGGGTCCCATCAACTTCACGGTCTTCCTCACACTCTTTGGGGAGAAACTCAATGGTGAGCCTGGGGCAGCTCTGGGTTCCCTTGACCAGACGTGGAGTCTGAACCTGCCAAACCCACCTGACCCTGCCAGAACCCTGTCTGGACTCTGCCTGGCCATGGCCTACCCAGGAGATGTGGAGCCTACCTCTGCACATCCTGGGCCCTGGTCAGCCCAGTGCTAACTTGAGTTCAGGAAACATCCATTCCTAAATCCTAACTCCTAGCCAGCCCTGCCCACTTCAGGAGGGTGATCATTCCCAGACCCTCTGATCCCCAAGGAACATTCCATAGGGGGGAATGCCCCCACCTCTTATGGAACATGGAGAGCTCCCCCCCCCATGCAACTCTGGGCTCCTCCTGGATAGGGCTTGAGAAGCTGGGGACCTGAGTATTCACCTGGCTGCCTTGGTCTCCCAGGGACAGACCCCGAGGAAGCCATCCTGAGTGCCTTCCGTATGTTTGACCCCAGCGGCCAAGGGGTAGTGAACAAGGATGAGTAAGTGTCAACTCCCCTACCCACAGTGAGGGACAACATGCAGAAGCAGAAAGGGGCAGTGGGGCCGCTTACGTGGGGGGGCCACCTGAACCTTGGCCTTCAGTGTTCTTTGAGGGGTGACCAGCTCTTTCCTGGGCTATGCCACCCTTTTTCTCAGCTCAGATCCTCCCCACTTCCCAGGTTCAAGCAGCTCCTCCTGACCCAGGCAGACAAGTTCTCTCCAGCTGAGGTGAGCCTGCCCAACCCTGTTAGTACCTATCCCTAGGAACTTCTCAGGGCCCTCCCCAGCAGGGCATTGGGGATGCCTCCTGACCCACTGCCCCCAGCACCAGTATAGTATAGGCTGAGAGGGCAACTGGGCCTTTCCAGAGGATGTGCCATCTCTATCAAAACCTGTAGGGATAGATGTGGGGTTGGAGGGTGGAAGTATGCCAGGCAGGGAGACTGTGCAGACCAAGTGACCACTGGAAAAGTATCTTCATAGGGGGCTGGGACCATCTCTGTGACCAGGGTGCACCTTTTGACTTCTGCTTCCGTTTGAGCCTACTGCTTAGTCTGCCCAATGATGACCAACAGGAAAATAACCAGGCGTTTGGGGCTTGGAGTTAAAAAGTTTGAGGCCCCAAAACAGCCCCAGGTTGAGGGTAAAGGGTCACAGGTCCCCTAAGCCACATCTCTGCCAGTTGTTGCCTCCACAGGTGGAGCAGATGTTTGCCCTGACACCCATGGACCTGGCAGGCAACATCGACTACAAGTCCCTGTGCTACATCATCACTCATGGGGACGAAAAAGAGGAGTAAGGGGCAGGCCTGGGGTACCACAATAAACTCTGTTTCTGAATGAAAACTGTAATGTTGGCTTATCTGTGACAGAGGGGGTGGGGACCAGACAGGAGTCTCAGGGACTAATATAGGCCCACTAAGATAATGACCATCACACATACAACTCACTTCACCCCATGCTGCCAAATGAATTATGAACCATGACCATGAGCAGTTTATAGATGAGTACACTGAGGCCCAGAAAAGTGGTCACCTTGCTCAAGGCCAATTTCTAGAAGAGGACTTGTACCTCCTTCCACAAGCCCATGAACGAACCTCAAAGTAGGCACTACCCATATCCTCAAGGTTGTGTATAACAAAGAGTTTCTAGGCATTCAGCAAACTTTCCACCCAACTAGTGATAGCAGCCCCAACTGTAGAGCACCCTCGATCCACTGTACATTCCCCTCTTGGCACAGTGGTGTAGGTGGGTCCCATGTGAAACCATCCAAAAGTACAACCCAAATCTCATGGGAAATACAGGTGAGAATTATGGCATGACAGGAAATGGACACCAGAGCCCAGACCAGAGCACTTGGAGGTATTCAAAATAATACTAGAAATTGGCCTCAGGTCTCCTGAGCCCCTTATGCAAAGTACAGTGAAAAAGTACGGGAATGGGGAAGAAACTTATCTCACAGAATTGAGTGTCCCACAAGGAGAGAAATGAATTACAGTAGATGGGGTAGGGAGAGAAGATGGGAGGGGAGGGGAGGGGAGGGGAGGGGAGGGGGATAGTAGGGAATAGGAAAGGTAGCAGAATACAACAGTTACTATATGGCATTATGTAAAAATGTGGATGTGTAACCGATGTGATTCCGCAATCTGTATTTGGGGTAAAAATGGGAGTTCATAACCCACTTGAATCTAATGTATGAAATATGATATGTCAAGAGCTTTGTAATGTTTTGAACAACCAATAAAAAAGAAGCTATATTCCATGCCTTAATAATTATGTCAAAATGGATCCTATTGTCATGTCTAACTAAAAAGAACCAATAAAATTAAAAAAAAAAAGAATTGAGTGTCCCTATCTCCTACCTTATTTCAGAAACCAGTGGCTGGATAAGTAGGTGACTCCTATCATTGGTACCTAAGGGACAGCAGGGGTCCCTCAAAGCACCTGAGGGAGAGATAGAGAGGCAATGACAGTTTAGTCAGACCAGAGCTGAGTAGTAGCAGCTCTTTGTGCCCCTCAGCTCCCTCCATGCCCTGCTGCAATGTCTGTAGCTAGAGAGATGAGAGGAGGTGATCAAGAGAAGACTGAGCCACCCATGTTGTCTTCCTGAAGTCCCAGGGGAAATCGTATTTTCACCTCAAGAGATGTTCAGTTAATCAGGATTTGTCAATCTTATTACTAAGTGGAATCTTGAGATTTGATGTACTCATAGGTGGGATTTTTGTATGTGTGCATGTGATATTGGGGGGATGAACACAGAGGGGCTTTACCACTGAACTATGTTTAAGTTGCCCAGGCTGACCTCAAACTTGAGATACTCTTGGCTCAGTCTCCTGAGTCTGGGATCATAGGCATGCACCTCCAAGCCCAGCTTCAAGAATAGCTGATTCTAGCAGGGCATGGTGGCACATGCCGGTAATCCCAGCAGTTTGGGAGTCTGAGAGAAGAGGATGGTGAGTTTGAAGCCAGCCTTAGCAACTTAGCAAGACCCTTAGCAATTTAGTAAGACCTTGTCTCAAAATAAACTATAACGGGGCATGGTGGCATATGCCTGTAATCCCAGCAGCTCGGGAGGCTGAGACAAGAGAATCGTGAGTTCAAATCAGCCTCAGCAAAAGCAAGGCACTAAGCAACTCTGTGAGACCCTGTCTCTAAATAAAATACAAAATAGGGCTGGAATGTGGCTCAGTAATCGAGTACCCCAAAGTTCAATCCTAGTACCCCAAAAATTAATTAATTAAATTTAATTAAAAAAATAAACTATAAAAAGTGCTGGTGATGTGGCTCAGTGGTTGAGTGCCCCTAGGTTCAATCCCTGGTTTAAAAAAAAAAAAGAACAGCTGATTCTATTGCTTACGAATGATCATGAAATTCATGAATCTGCTTGTGTTTCCATCCAGACAGTGGCCCCTGTTCATCACTCCAAGCATGCTGAGAAGACTGGGTGAGCAAATCAAGGAATTGTCCTTATGCTATCCTAAGTTTTGTTTTTTTTTTTCATGAAGTAAGGGATAAATTTAAAATCCAAGCCTCTACAGGTGAAATTGTGATAGACTTTGAAATGGATGAAAACACCACAGGAGTTTCATTATTAATTGGATGGAGTCCTCTGCACCTTTATCTTTAAGCAATTTCATAACTCTATAGGTTGTAGAAAACTAATAGCAAGGCAATAACTCTTGTCCACAGACGTGCAAATAAATGTTCAGTGGAAACATTTATTTTCCCTTTTACTCTGTGAAAGAAGCCAATTTTGCAACTGTGTTAAGCAGATTCACCTCAGCATTCCTGACTGCCTATCCATATGGATGCTTTTTGCATTCTTCCTGAATGAGTTGTAACATTTTATTGTTTCCCTAGTGAATTAACAAATAAAATCTTTGGTGGTGTTCACTATTTGCATGTGAGTCATGACTTTGCTTTGGAAAAAAAACTTAAAATATTGATAATGCACTGCATGTCTTCAAAAAGCTAGATGAAAGGATTTTAAGGGTTTTCACAACAAAGGAATGATAAACATTTGAAGAGATAGATATGCTTAACCTGATTTGGTCATTATTCAATGTATACATGTATAGAAACTTCACATAGTCCTTCATGAATCTGCATAATTATCATGCATTAATTAAAAACAAATAAGAGAAGATACAATATTATTATCTTTCTTAGAGCATTTCCTTTAGAAAACTTGTAATTGTAGGTTCTTTGTCAACTCCTTTTTATGTAAATCTGCCCAAAGGCTTCTTGCCAATTTTACAACTCAGAAACGATTCATTAAGGACCTGGGAGCCCCATCTGAAATGTCATCACCATGGTAGACAACATTCTTATCTCCCAGTTTCTATGAGAGGGTGTTTCTATGAGAGGGTGGGAGTCTAAGTTCAGCCTGGTGCCTGCCTGAAATTGTAAACCCACTTCCTGTCTTAAGATATGAGTTTATTTTTTCCTTTGGATGAAAGCAATTAACAAACCAGATGGCCCAGGAGGACTCAGTGTACACTGCATATGATCAGTGGTGTTGTGGAGACCTCTTACCTGAGGACAAGTTCCCCATTTCTCCTGAGAATGTGGACAGAATGGATTGTACTTGGCTATGTACAAGGGCAAGATGTCCATCTTTGCAACCTCTTAGAGGGTTGCCAATAATGAGCATTACAGTCTACTTAATGCTTATTCAATAATTTAACTGTTTTTTTCCATTTACTTTTGTGGAAGATTTTCTGGTTTGGCAGATTTTGTTTTTAATCTTCTGGCCAACATGGCCTGATGTTCCATCACTCCAGAGACTCTGCAAGCTGGGGGAAGACATGGGGGCGGGGGAGGGACTTTCCCCAGGAACAACTCTAGCCATGCTGGCTGGAGTGCAGAGCATAGGCTGATCCCCCAGAGGCTCAGGTCAGTGGTGGTCAAAGCCCTGCTAATATTGTATCTTCTGATCTTATCCTGAGTTCCTTTTAGCCCTCAGGGTGGATCTCAGGCCCTGCCCTGCACCCACACATCCTCCTTCTCTGCACATTCTTTCTTTATCCAAGTTAACACCACTGATAAGGTTAAACGCAGGCTCTTTAGCTGTGTGCCCTGGCATGAAGAATATGTGACCCTGCATGCTTCTCCAGCAGGCGTAGGCTGTTCAAAGTCTCACACTGTCAGGGCTTGATGGATGCCTGCTGTCTCACAGCCCACCCACTCTCCAATCCAGACGCTCTCCACGGGCTGAGACTCCTCCTCAGGCAGAGGTAGCCAGAAGGGAAAATACAAATTAAAATAATAGACAATTACAAAAAAGTAAATAAATTATGCAAAAAAAAAAAAAGTTAAATGATAATCTCATAAAAGTTGAAAGTCTGCAGTGGTCGCCTGAGGCTGGGAAGAGTGAAGTCAAAGAAGGAATGGGAAAAGGTCAGTAAATGGTCCCAAGTCACAGTTAATAGGAGAAATTGCCTTCTCATGCTCTAACCACAGTGCACAAGAGTGCAGATGGTCCAGGTATGCTGGACAGATGGGGGAGTAGGTCCATGTGTGTCTCTTCCCATGCAGCTAAACTTCTGGAATTTTATGGACTGAAAGTTAGCAGAGCGGGCACAGCTGTGAGTGAGTCTGTACCTAAAGTAAAGGAGCAGACACACACACACACACCCCAGTAGATACATAAGTGCTCCCAAACTGTCTGGAGCTTAGTGTCCTCATATGTCAAGGAGGATGGGACTGCATATTGATAGGATCTGATGGCCATAGAGTTCTTTGCCCTTGACACTCATCAGGGCTGGTGCTCCATGCGCATGGCAATCAGCTCATCCCCAACTGATGCCCTTCCTCTTTCAGGACCCTAGAATAAAGCCTCCACTTTCAGCCTCCTTTGGTGGCAGGGGTGACCCCGTATGGTGACAGTGTTCTCTTTAAGAGACAGATATGTGCACCTCTATTAAACCCTAGCATACAGCTCGTACACAGCCTCCTTGGGCCATGAAGGTATGGGCAGGGGCTACAAACTGGGCCATCCTGGGCCCTGACATAAGGGTATGTCACACATCACCTCAACTCCTAACACAAAGAGAACAAGCTCCATCTGATAGAAGCTGCTGCTGTTGGGAGTCTTTATACTTATAGTGGAACCTAATCCTAAACAATACAGAGTGACTTATCCCCATCTTCAGATAGGAAATAGAGGCACTGCATGGCTGAGCAACCTGTCTAGGGTCATACACATCCCAGAGAGGTAAGTTTGAATTTGTCCTGATCTTTGTTTAGATCCCAGAGCACAAGGCAGCTGTGTGGGGCTCCCTCTCTAGGAGCATAAACTAGCTGTACATATCCCATAGATCCTTGCACCTAGAAGTTTCTGTGTCCCCTGCATAACCATGGCCTTCAAATGAAGATGTCTGAATTACACAACCTTTTGACAACACCTACCCAACCTTCGGGCCTCCTCTTCTGAGGCCCTCCCAGAGTAGGCTGTTTTTAGTTCAGAACCACTTGGTATATCCACAGGCTGGGGGCCAAGTAGCACTGTATTAAAGAGCAGATGTTTCTAGGGAGGGCCACTACCCCTGATGATCTCCTCCTCTCCAGGTGGCAGAGTCCTGGAAGCCACAGTCACGACCGCACACCACCCAGAAGTGATAATACGATAGAATTCAGTACATCATTTAGTGCAAAGGTTCTACCATCATGAGTCTGAGGCCACTTCTCCACCTCCTGAATTGTTGTTGGTCTATGGCATGTTGACTTCCATCTTGCAGTTCTGCCCTCAATTTCTTGAAACCCAAAGTCACCAGGCTGAGACAAAATTCAGAATAAAAGATAACATGGAGAGAGAAGCCTGGCCCTTGGTCATCCACCTAAGACTGGACATGAAGGAATGAGGCCTTGATGAACCCTGAGCCTCAAATGGCCATATCCAAGCTTAGGAAGGAAGAGAAAAGACCTGCCTGGTCAGCCCACAGCGTTCTGAGAAATAAGAAACTGTTACTGTTTTGAGCCAGTAAGATTTGGCCCAACTTGTACTGTACCAATAGGTAAGTGGTACATCAACTTAGCCAATATCCTGATGAAGACAAACAGTAGCATTGACAAAGTTTTAAGATTAGTCAGAAACTGAGACACTTTTCTTGATTTTGACCATTGGGGTATAGAACCCTATACCCCAAATACTGTTTAGTGGCACCCCAGGTACCCAGCTCTCTGGCTAGTTACTTTGGGCCATGCCAAAGTAGAGGGCAGGAAGCACTGAGGTTGGAAGAATTCAGCTGAGGTATATGGGAGGGCAGCCAGAGGCACAGGAACAACTCTTGCCAGATCATCAAGGCTGGCCCTCCAAGATCATCCTTACCTTGCAGTGAACCCCCTCAACCCAGTCTCTGCTACCATGTTGTGTGACAAGAATCCCCTGCTGGGGACTGGCCCCTTGCTCCTATTTAGAAAAAAAAAACTTATTTAATAATACTGAATAATCATGGTAAGGAGACTTTATTCAGGACCATTATGATAAGTGTAAGGACCATGGTGATGGGATTTTGCAGTGAGGAGAAACTTTAGAATCAACTCCAAATACAGTGTTGTCATGTGGAATTTATAATCAAGGAGCAGGTGGAATCAGTAGTTTGAAAATGACTAAGAGAAGACAACAGGATAGGGAAATTCAGTGACACTAACCTCCCAGAATTCTTGCCAACGTGGTCAGACATCATGGGGGGAAGGAACAGGATGAAGAATCTGATCAGTTATGGAGACAAGGGCCTCTGGTTAAACTAACTTAGCGGGTTCTTTGCAAAAACTAGAGAAACAGAAGTGTGCCAGAGAGCCTAAGAAAAGGATCAGGGGTGCTTGCTTTGGCAGCATATATACTAAAATTGGAACAATACAGAGATTAGCATGGCCTCTGTGCGAGGATGACATGCAAATTCATGAAGAATTCCATATTTTTATGTATAACTAATTAAAACAAATTTTAAAAACTAAAATAAAAAAAAATGATCAGGGGCCTGACTCTAGTTTGGCCAAGTGGAGAATCTCTGTCTGCAAGGGGTTAGAGGGAGGAGACCTGGCTCTGCCTCTATGGCTTCAGGTCTCAGCCCACAGTCACTTCATCCAGGAAGGATCTCCTGACTCAATGCTGGGCACCATTCCTCCCAGGGCTGGCCTGGATCACCATGACTTCCTGTGAGCACTCTGATGGTGGCAAACATATTTGTCAGCTCTGTCCTGGCGGAGAGCACACACTCTGCAAATGAATTGTGAAGGAGTGAAGTGACATGAATCTCTAGACCTGTGAAGGTTGAGGAGCTTTTATGTAGATGCTGTGGTCCAGTGAGTTTGCCAGACTCAGCTGTTTATAATTGGGGGTTCCTCACTGGGTAGTAAAGTACATCTTCGTCTAAAAGCCATCAGCATGGCACCTGCCCTGGTAGCCAGAGTCAGTGCACCAAGGGAGCCCCTGCAGTAGGAAAGAGTCTCCTTGTACCTGCTCTCTGTGCTGGGCATGTGCAAGTGTGCAGATGGGGAGAGGGGGTTGCACATGTATATGCATGTGTATGTATGCATGCAGTGTGGGTGATGTAAGGAGACCCCCTCTTGCTGGCCTCTCTTCCACTGCCCATGCATCCCTGTCATCACAATTTGCCCTCACTGTCCCTTTCCTCTGGGATACATGGCACTCTCTCTGCCACCTCAGGCATCTGGAGAAACCTCTGATCTTCCATTTGCCACTTAATCTCAGCCCTCCCCCTCCTGCCTGTGGATCATCCCCCAGGATGCTCTGCTGACATGCAAAGCCACACAGCTCCAAAATAGAACCTTATCTCTGCCGGCAGCACCTCCACCCCCTTCTCCTCAGGACCCCCTGAACTCTCCGCTTCTTCTGCATCTCCACCCCTCCCACATGCCAGAGAAATAGGCTGGACTTCTGAACAAACAGGGGAAACACCCTGAGAGTCCTGTGAACAGTTTGGTCAGAGACACTCATGTCACTGCCTACTGCCACTTGCATGCTTATGACTGGATGTCAGGAATCCATTGCAGCAGCCCCAAAAGAAACAGATGACTGAAGAAACTAAATCAGTAACCAAAATGTTAACCATACATTTCCCAGAAAAGTATGTATGATATGTGGGAGCGAGAGTGTTCTATAGCTTGTGACCATGTTTTAGCAAGTCTGTGCCCTTGGGCTGTGACTTTCACCAGTGCTTCTCAGGCTCTTTTTTCCTCCCATCACTTCCAGGCAAGATAGGAAGGATAGAAGTGCCTAGAGTTGGGAGTTGGGGACACACACACACACACACACATACACACATACACACACACACACCGCCAGTTAGGCTCTGGTACAAACTTCCCTTGTGGGCAGATCTTGTTAAGAACAGAATGCTGGGGCTGGGGTTTTTGCTCAGTGGCAGAGCACTTGCCTAGCATGTGTGAGGCAATGGGTTTGATAGAATTCTGTTGTATTCAATTTTTTTCCAATAAGAAAACCCCAAAGAAGCTGGGTGCAGTGGCACATGACTGTGATCCCAGCAGCTTGGGATGCTGAGGCAAGGAGGATCACAAGTCCAAAGCCGGCCTCCAACAACATTGTGAGACCCTGTCTCTAAATAAAATATAAAAAGGAATGGAGATGTGGCTCAGTGGTTAAGTGCTCTAGGTTCAATTCCTGGTAAAACAAAACAAAACAAAAAAAGCCCAAAGAGATATAAAAGAATAGTAAATGGCCTCTAAATGACTGTTATGGTTTGTTTGTCTTTAAAGCCAAAAACCTTTGAAAATTGGCCTTCAGATTTGACAGATTAAAACAAATTCTCAAAAATTCACTTTCTCTAAGATTTCAACTGGCAAGCTTTCCTACTATAAGTTGTGTACTTTCTACCCACATGCTCCCATAAATGTAACTCTGTGTTCAATTTATCCTCCTCTTCTAGAAGATCACATACCTACTCTAACAGCTGAGTCTTCAGGCTGCTAATGATATTAACTCTCAATATTTCAACAATTATCCTGATTTTTTTCAGAATCTGGCATTCTAGCTGAAGGCAGTCCTTTAAATAGGAGTTTTTCTGTCTCTTCTGCAACTTCTCCATGAAGTACCAATGTGTCCCAATATTTCCAACGAAATTTAAATCTGACACTGAATTTGGTTATGGTCAACTTCACAGCTCTCTTTAGAAGCCAGTTTAAGGATCTTAGTCCTCAGTTGTATCAGTCACTCATTTCATTTGTATGACTTTTTCCTTCCCTGAAGTCCCTATCTGACCTATCAGTTCACCTTGTAGAAGAACTTAGCTCACCCACTGTCAATCAGTTTCCTCCCCTGAGTAATGTTGCTGTCCGGCAGGTATGAACTGGATTTCCTGCTGCAGTTTCCCTGTTTGGATTTCCTGCTGCAGTTTCCCTGTTTGGATTTCCTGCTGCAGTTTCTGCTGCTCTCAGAGAAGTTTTCCTCACTGAAAGGCCTGAGAGGAATATTTCTTCTTGGGTCTGCTTTAGCCACCTCCTCTTTCTGACTGATGACAGATAGTCCTTTGATAATGACATCTCACTGCTCCTTGAACTATTCACAGACCCAGTAACCATTCTACTTTGGTTTTCAGCATTTTGTTGTGACAATGTGATAGACACTTTCCCAACAGTGGGATGAGAAGTCAAAATTGAGAAGGTGCCTCCCTCTTGGAATGCAAAGAGATCTCTGTTGACTTTGCTCTCTCTCACTGTGCACAGTCTGTATTCTTCTGCCATCACTATGGAGACAGGAAATATTCAGACCTAGAACTGTGTGGCTGTAAATCTGGGTAGATTCTGCTCTGTTTTTCTATAATATATTCACATGAATTCAACCTGCTCTTTGGCCTTTGGTCTTTGTTTAGGAGCTCCAACAGCCTCACTGGTTTACTCTCTTCCTCACTGCCATTAACAGAGGACCATATGGGAATCAGGCTTTCAGGCTGAGCACTGGACTTAGTGTTACCCTGCAGACCCTCTTTCTTTACTTGAGAAATATTGCATTTACCTTTTTGCTTGTTAGAGGCATCTAAGTGTCTTGGTTGATTTTTCAGAACTATGCTGTCATTTATTGAGTCTCTACTTTCTGCAGGTAAGATGTCAATATTTACCCTACTGAGTGTGACTAGTGACTCTGCAGTATTGCTCATGTCTGGTTTGCCAGTGTGGCCTTCTAGAACAGCAAGTTATTTCAAGGGACTGATGGCCATGAGTTTCTCCTGGGTTAAATATTTATCTTCATTCATTACATGTGACTTGGAGCCCTCAGCAGAATGTGGTTGGGGATGGATTATTTCATGATTTGATTCTGCCTTTCTAGAAAACCATGGTAACAACAGGTTTGGATTTAGAATAATCATTTTTAATGTTAGTTTGGAGGTTTTTGTCTTTGTAGACTCCAAAATCAAGGAGAATGGGTTTTTTATCTGGGCCATCTCAGGATGTTCCTCATAGAGGGTCTTTCTTCAGAACTTTCCCTCAATGTTCTTATCAGTTTTGCCAGCACTGGGCTATAAACTCTTGACATTGGTGGAAGCTTTCCTTCAATAATCCAATAAAGAATTCATGGGTTTTTTTTTGCATTGAAATCATGGTTCAGATTCAGAGTGGCCATTACATAAACACAAATCAAGATGTAGGCTCAGACCCTGGGAAACAGATTGCAGATCCCAGCAGGTGAAAGAAGATGTGAGGCACAGTTGAGATAATAGACGTTCTTTATTTGGAAGCTACAGCAAACCCCCAGTCTCTAGCTCCAGCCTCCTGAATCCTTCCATGGATCATCTTTTTTTTTTTTGCACCGAGATTGAACTCAAGAGCACCCAACCACTGAGCCACATCCCTAGCCCTCCAGGGTCTCACTGAGTTGCTTAGTACCTCATTTTTTTCTGAGGCTGGCTTAGAACTCATGATCCTCCTGCTTCAACCTCCTGAGCCACTGGGATTATAGACATGTGCCACCACGCCTGGCTCCATGGACAATTTTTTTTTAATATGCAGGCCAGACAAAGAAGACATATTGCCAACAGGTTACATAAGTGGATGAATGCTCACAAGCAAATTTTCATGACCTTGAGGACATACACTGAATCAGGGTGATCATGACTTTGGCTACATACAAAAACTTGTCTACTGCAAGCCTCAGCAAAGAGTGTAACTATAGCCATCTTGGCTTGCCCAGCAACACAGTATCTCTAAGCCCAAACATCAGACTTACAGGATCTGTTTAAGAATAATTCAAGGCTCATCTAATAGGGTATGCCAATGAGGCTATTTTCCATGTCACAGTTTCTCTAATAGTCAATTCCTAGGTCACTCACTTGAATGATGTTTGTTCCTATCAGAAAGAGATTTTGAGTTGTTTCAGATCTATATAAAGGTTGTGTTTCTTATGTAAATACTGAAAAGTTATGCCAAACTGTACAAACCAGTCTACTATCAGACTATCAGGCAGAAATTTTCCTTTTTGCTCCTGGAGCTCTGGGTACAGATCACCAGCTTCACAGAGGCCATGAACAATGCAGAATAGACCTCTCCTCCCTCCCATGATGCTTTGCAGTTGACAGTGTTGGAGTACTTCAACTGAGACAAGAATTGAGCTTCCTGTTCAACAGCTGGAGGCATTTAAGAGCTTCATTTTTTTTTTTTTAAAGAGAGAGTGAGAGAGGAGAGAGAGAATTTTTTTAATTTTTTATTTTTTGGTTCTCGGCGGACACAACATCTTTGTTGGTATGTGGTGCTGAGGATCGAACCCGGGCCGCACGCATGCCAGGCGAGCGCGCTACCGCTTGAGCCACATCCCCAGCCCAAGAGCTTCATTTTTTTTGATAACATAAATTCTGATGTCCCACTGGTACTTCATAAGCTTCACCTCCCTGTATTTTCCCTGCTCACAATCTGCAGGGAGCAGTATGGGCATATTCCCAGCTCAGACCCCATTTGGGATGTGGCAGCAGCATTGGGTAGGTCTGTGGGCCATGGCAGAAGGCCCTGCTCCTGCTGGAGAGGCTGCAGGGGGATAGTCTATGGAGGTCTGGCCAGGGCAGGAGAACTGAGACATGACCCACCACATCATTGCTGCCATAGCTGATAGTAAAAATTTTTAAATAAATAAAACTTAGCAAACTTGGGGAGAGGGGAAACACCTGGTTTTCAGAGTTTTCACATTGTGAAATAGAAATATTCAATTTTCAACTAAAAACATCACAAAGCAGACAAAGAAACAGGAGTGTATGATCCATTCCAAGGGAAAAATTAATCAACAGAAACCATACCAGAGAAAGGCCAAATAGGGCTGGGCTCATGGCTCAGTGGTAGAGTGCTCACCTAGCATGTGCAAGGCCCTGGGTTCAATCCTCAGCACCACATAAAAATCAATAAAATAAAGGTATAAAAAAAAGAAAGAAAGAAAAGCCAAATAGGTGACTTGCTAGACAAAGACTTTAAAATAACCATCTTAAAGATACTCAAAATAAAGAAACAATCTGTGAGGTCAATAGAAAGCCTACATCTTGACAGCAAATCTTTACCCCTCACACAGAAAGAGGACTAATCTCTAGGATATATAAAAAAACTCAAAAAGCTAAACACCAAAAAAAACAAATAACCCAATCAATAAATGGGCCAAGGAACTGAACAGACACTTCTCAGAAGATGATGTACAATCAATCAACAAATACATGAAAAAATGTCCATCATCACTAGCAATTAGAGAAATGAAAATCAAAATTACTCTAAGATTTCATCTCATTCCAGTCAGAATGGCAGCTATTATGAAGACAAACAACAATAAGTGTTGGTGAGGATGTGGGGGAAAAGGTACACTCATACACTGCTGTAGGACTGCAAATTGGTGCAGCCAATATGGAAAGCAGTATGGAGATTTCTTGGAAAATTGGGAATGAACCACCATTTGACCTAGCTATCCCTTTCTTTGGTCTCTACCCAAAGGACTTAAAAATAGAATACTACAGGGACACAGCCACATCAAAGTTTGTACCAGCACAATTCACAATAGCTAAACTGTGGAACCAACCTAGATGCCCTTCAATAGATGAATGGATAAGAAAAAAATGTGGCATATATACACAATGGAATATTACTCAGCAATAAAAGAGAATAAAATCACGGCATTTGCAGGTAAATGGATGGAGTTAGAGAAGATAATGCTAAGTGAAGTTAGCTAATCCCCAAAAGCCAAATGCTGAATGTTTTCTTTGATATAAGGTGGGTGATTCATAGTGGGATAGGGATAGGGAGCATGGGAGGAATAGACAAACTCTAGATAGGGTAGAGGGGTTGGAGGGGAAAGGAGGGAGCATGGGGTTATTAATGATGGTGAAATGTGATGATCATTATTATCCAAAGTACAGGTATGAAGGTATGAATTGGTATGAATATACTATGTATATAACCAGAGATATGAAAATTTGTGTTCTATATGTGTAATAAGAATTGTAATATATTCTGTTGTCATATATTTTTAAAAAGATACCAGAAGAGATAAGTGAAGATATGGACAGTCAAGAAAATGATGTATGCACAAATGGGAATATCAGTAGAGAGATAGAAAACGTTTTATTGTTGTTTAGGTAGTAAAAAAAGAAATTCTGGCTGGGCATGGTGGCACATGCCTATAATTCTAGTGGCTCAGGAGACTAAAGGAGAAGGATCCAGAGTTCAAAGCCAACCTCAGCAACTTAGCAAGGCCCTAAGAAATTCAGCCCTTTCTCTAAATAAAATATTTTTAAAAGAGCTGGGGATGGGACTCAGTAATTAAGCATGACTCTTGGTTCAATCCCAGTACCAAAAAACAAATAATAATAACAATAATAGTAATAGGATGAAGGGAAGGAAGGGGAAATGGGATTAGGAAAGAGAGCTAAATGAATTAAATATAACTTTCCTATGTTCATATACATTACCAGTGAACTCCACATTCTGTACAACCTAAAGAATGGAATCCTAATTAGAATTAATTAGTTATAGTCCATGTCTGTATATGTCAAAATACACTCTACTGTCATGTATATCTAAAAAGAACAAACAAAAAATTAGAAAAATAATTCTGGAGCTGAAAAGTACAATAACAAAATGAAATAGTCATTAAGAAATTCAAGGACAAATTTCAGCAAACTTGAAGATTAGATAATCTAAATTATCAAATATGAAGAACAGAGAGAATAAACGTGTTGCAGAAAAGTGAACAGAGATTAAGGGACCTATGGAACACCATCAAGCAGACCACTATATCTATGATGGGAATTCCAGAAAAAAAGAGTTCAAGAGATGAAGGGATTATTTGAAGAAATGATGGCTAAAAATTTCTCAGTTTGATAAATGATATGACTATAAATATCCAAAAAAAACTAAGAAACAAAACAAACCTCCAAGTATGCTAACCCAATACCCATGCTGAGGAAAAAAATGATACAAGTCATGCCACAGTATTCATAGTGGATTGGTTACACACCACCAACAGACATCAAAATTAGTAGATGCCCAAGTCCTTTAAGGTGGCTCTCTGTATCCACAGATGCAGAACCCATGGACACAGAGGGTCAACTATATAACAAGCTGCTAAAAGCCAAAGACAAGAAGAGTATCTCTAAAAAATATTTTTAAAATTTTAATCACACAATAATTGTACATATTTATGGAGTATTGTGTGACATCAATTTATGTATACAATGTATGATCAGGGCACCTTAAGCATTTACCATTTCTTTGTGTTAGAAACATTCAAAATTCTATTAACTATTTTGAAACATATAATTTAACTTATAATTTGAAACATATAACATAATTAACATATAATTTGAAACATATAACCATTATCATCCATAGTTATCCTCCTGTGCTATAAAACTTTAGAACTTATACCTCTGTACCTATAAACTGTTCAAGGAGACAATCTTGAAGGCAGCAGGAGAGAAGTGACCCATCAAATATAAGGAATACTCAAAAAGATAATCAGATTTCTCACCAGAAATCTTGGAAAGGAATGCTAGGGGGAGTCCTGCAAGTTGAAAAGAAAGTAAC